AAGGAGGATCATTCTTGGAGTGTGTGTGGCGACTGGAGAGCTCTGGAACCTTCAAGACCAAGCTTCTTCCTTTCTTCATCATTTGTAGAGTTCTACATGTCTATGTATAGCTAAACTCACCCTTGTTGGGGTTTGATGTAACTAAACCCATTCTCATGTGTAAACTCTAAGCTATCAATCTAAGTTGTTATTCAGTTTTATTGTTTTGTTTCTGTGCATAATGCTTGTTTTGGCTTGATCACCCTTAACTTGAACTTCAGGTTTTTAAGAGATTGAGAAATGATTTTAAACCTTTGAAATGAAATAGAGCAGCTAATGGTGCTTATTGCTAGAGATAGAGTAAATGCCATTGGTCTTTCTTAAGCTCTTGTTTTTAAAGCTGGTTTCTTGGTTAAACTATGCAAGAGATTGATAGTTTAAGTTAGAAACTTAGATTCCAACTTGTAAGAGATTAGGGTTGGTTACTTTTGAGAGTGATTGATAAATTCTGAATAATAACTATTGTGAACTTAGTGATAAGCATGAGAGGAAGGTTTAGTGAAGTCAAACCCCAACAATTTATTAATATTGCATTAGAATCAAGTTTTGCACTCTAAGTGTTTACCAAAATACCAAAAAGAATTATTATTGCTTGTTTACATTATTTACTGCAGAAAATCAAACTCTTATTGTTTTTCGGTAGCTTAGTTAGATAACAAGTGAAATTGCAAAGTGTTGCGCAAGTCCCTTAGGAGACGATACTCATACTTTCATTGAACTACGTATACGATTTGGTACACTTGCCAAACGAGATAACAATCTCCTACAACAGCTCAGCCTTACGGCCTACAACAGCTCAGCCTTACAGCCTACAACAGCTCAGCCTTACGACCTACAACAGTTTATATCAGCATACAACACAGCATAGCTTATAGCAATATCAACTTACATCACGGCTAAATAGCTTATAGCACAACATTATCGTCTCACAACACAACAATATTATAATTCAGCATGAATAACATTCATCAATAACAGCTCAGCTCAGCATAAAACAACATATAAGGAAACAGCATAAACGCGCCCGATGCACTCATGGTCGCGCCCGGCATGGCACAACCAGAGAGTACCAAGGAACCAGCACGCCCGGCGCAATTCCTATTGCGCCCGACGTGATAGGAGGCAGAGACTTCACAAGGTCTCGTAAGCCCGGCGTACTCATCTCGCGCTCGGCGCAAGAAAGTAGAGACCTCCCCAAGGGTCTCACGCCCGGCGTAATATAAATTGCGCCCGGCGCCACCTCTGGCAGAGACTCCCAAGGAGTCTCCACGCCCGGCGTGACAAAGTCTCGCCCAGCACCAAACCAGAACCCCAAAACATATGTCACTTACTGATATCGCACCCAGCACTGTCCCACCACGCCCGGTGTAGGCCATCCAGAGGCTCACATTCTCAAGCACGCCCGGCGCACACATCCTTGCGCCCGAAGGCTTGTCAAAATAGAGCCCTCTGATGGTCACGCGCTCGGCGTGATACTTAGCAGCAACCCTCAAACTTTCGAAAATCTCTTCAAAACCTGCAAAATCCACCAGAAAACCAACATGCAATCCATCCAAAAGTCCACATTTTCATCAAACATCACTAAAAACACCTCATTTTCAGTATGCAACCAACAAACAATCAAAACCCTAAATTTTCACCCAAACCCCGAAAAACCTGAAAACGAATTTCTTCAATCTCAGCTCGAAATCATCAAACCATCAGCCCACAAATGAGTTTATGAACTCATTTTCAACAAAACATAGCCAAAAACTAGCTTCCCTTATCTCGGTGCAAGGAATCCAAGCTTCCGGGAAGAGACGAACGACGAATGAAGGAGAAGAGTGACGGAGAAGAAGGGAAACAGCTCAAATCCACACGGCTCGACAAGAAAATCAATACCTACTCAGCACCTTGAATCTAAGTAAAAGAGGAGAAGTGAGAGTTTGAGAGGGAAGAAGAGAGTGAATCAACAAAAGTGAGTGAGAAGAGAGTTTGGGGAAGAAAAGAAAAAGGAAAGGGGTCTCACATATATAAAGTTTTATGAACCTTCAATTTAACAGCTGGATTTACAAAATTCACATTTAATATAAAGTTATTGAATGATGTAATACTTAGTAAAAGTTACACCGGTGTCGTTTGAACCCTCTTCATATATATATATATATATATATATATATATATATATATATATAACATGTTTTTATGATTATCCGTCAATTTGAATTAATGAAATGAAGTATCAAATTTAAAATTTTTAGAAAATTGCAAATTTGATGTATATTAAGAACTTTAAATTCAATGGTTGATATAGAACATGAGTTATTGAACAGAATAAGTCTAGATAAACTTATTTCTAGAGTAAACAAATCTCTCCTATATATATATATAAATAAGTAGTTGATAAGAAAAATTTTATTAAAAATGATCAATTAATTTTTAATAGAGATTATCACAAATAAAATTAAAAATATTTTGTATTAATAATATTATTAAAAAAAATAACTTGTTTGTGAAATAAGACGAGCATTAAAATATAAAGTTCAGTCCACAACTTTAAAATTTAGTTTAATTTTTTTTCTTCTCCAAAATAAAATCATACACAATTAATTTTGCAAACATTTGTATATCTACACAAATATTATAATTGATTAAAAAGCTAAAAGTACAAAATCTTACGATAGTCAGAAATAAACTTTTGGAGACTTTACACTTAAACAAGTTAAAGTTTATTATAGTTTTTAGAGTTGGCATTATTTTTAACGGGAATTTTTTACTAAAATAATTTTTTTTTATTTTTTATTTACCAAGATAACATCTGTACCACTTTATTTACTCAAATAGAACATTTTACTGTTCACACTCAGAACTCGGTTCCCCGGAAACCGAATTCTGAGCTGTTAAATTTTTATTTATTTATTTATTTGTTTTTTGCATTTTTGGATCTGTACGTGGTGTAAAACTGCATCCGGAACGGCCCGTTCAGGCCGTTCTCCTTGCAAAACGGCCTTCTGCAAGGAGAACGGGCCTTTCCGGATGCAAAAAAAAAGCACATGACAAATGCATCAAAATGGGCCGTTTTGTTGGGACGTTCCAGTTTCAAAAATAACACACTATGCGTGCAAGCAGAACGGCCCGTTCTGCTTGGAGAACGGGCCGTTCTAGTTGCAACATTAACCCGTAACCCGAAGTACAAACAGAAAAGAAAAGAAAAATTTAAACATTACTCAGAATCCGGTTCCACGGGAACCGAATTCAGAGAAAATTTTTTTTTTGAAGTTCAGAATTCGATTTCCCGGAAATCGAATTCTGAGTGTGAATAGCAAAAGGTTCTATTTGGGTAAATAAAGTGGTATAGGTGTTATTTTGGTAATTTTTTTTTTAAAAAAATTATTTTAGTAAAAAATTCTTTTAACGGTCAGTATAAGAGTTGTTAGTGGATAGACAGTTTATTAATAAAAAAATCACTATTAATATTACTTTTAAAATAATTATAATAAAAAATCAATAAACTTGATATATAAATGATAGTTGTTAGAAGTATCTCTTTATTTTTATAGGTCAATTTGGTGATAATAAGTTATATATTCTTGTAAAAAAAATATAATTAATGATAAAATGATACTCTAAAATTATTTTACACCAACGTATAATTTTTTTCTCTTCTTTTTAAGACACATATAATAATATTTTTTTAGTTTTTCACAATTTTTTAATAGACATTTATTTCAAAATATAAGATGACATTGTCAGAAATATTACGCTTAGACATATTATTCTCATGATTACCCATTAAACATACTATTCTCGTGAACATGTTTAATTTAGTCTAATTGTATTTTTTTTCATTTATATTTAATGATTTTTGTCATCAAATGTTTAAAATTTTATATATTTTGTAAATTTAATTGATTGATTGTTTAAACACTTCAATTATTAATGTGATACATTATATTACATTATTATTTATATGTCACATTATTAATTAATGTTAATGATTAATATGACATCTTACTCATTAATATGTCATGTTATATAATCAATTAATGAGATGGTAATATGTAAAAAAAAAAATTTAATTAGAAATTAAAATATACAATTTAAAAAATTGTTCAACAAAATTTACAAAATTATAAAACATAGAGGACAAAAAGTACAACAAAACATAGATATTTAGTAATTTTAAAATATAAAATTGTTTAATTAAAAAATAAAAGTGAATCCTCTCAAAAAAAAAAAAAGTGAAAGAATGATGTAAAAAAGATGGTTATTATCGATTGTAACTACTATTCTCGTAAAAAAATCAAGATACCGGACTTTTATTATAGAAATAAAAAAAGATAAACATACAAAACAAAATTAACTAATCTTAATATTATTTTATTTTTCAAACACAACATTAGAATTAATTTTATTTGAACTGTGCCGAACACCTTGCAAGATTTAAAATATACTTCATTCTCTGTATCATAATAACTACAACTTTAATATTTGAAAAATAATTTAAAAAATTTATTTTTTTATCTTTTAATGTAATATTAATTAATATTTTTAATTATATTTTTCATAAATTATTTAATTACTATAATTAAAACTAATATAGTTATTTATAAAGTGAATTATTTTAGTAAAATTATATAAAAATATATCAGAATAATTATAGTTAATTTATGATTTTTAGTAAAAAATTTACGATAATAATAATAATAATAGATTCTCAAGAATTTTTATATATTATTAATTTATTACGATTTTGGTATTATTACGTTTGCTTCTATTAGTTTACGAGATCAAGTATTAAGAATCAAAAGAATAAAAGAATAAAAATAATTTGTGATCGATTAAAAGAAAAAAGAAATAAAAAAAATCTATAGACTACTCACATGAAAATTGAACTCAAATTCTCTTTATAATTCACAAATAAAAATAATTAATGATAAATAGAATAATAAAATAATAATGTTGTAAGAGATATCAATATCATATACACTCTCTTGCATTCATCTCCTCACGAGATTCTGGTTCTGTTTTCGCCACCCCACCATTCCCCAACTCGCTCCGAGTTGACTCACTCCTTTCCCTTTCGGGATCAACCGTCACCGTCACCGCCACCGTGCTCCGTCGTCAGTGCGACCTCCTCCACCCTTCTCCTTCAATGCAAAGCTCACCGTCTATTCTCGCCGGAACAACCTCCTCCTCTTCCTCCTTCCCCTTTGGACTTTGACTTTTGCTTTCTCGCGAATCCGATGGGTCCCTTTCGCTTCCTCTTGCTCTTCGCCGCCCTCTGCTCCCTCCTCCGCCCCCTCGCCGCCACCGACGGCGACGCCGATCCACTTTACGTGTTAGTCTCTCTCTCTCTCTGGGATATTGGTTAGAGAATCCCAGATTTGAAATTTTCAATCTAAACGCTTGATTAGGTTTTGGGGTCGTGTAGAAATCTGGGTGTGGTGTTTTAATGTTATGGGTATGGTAAAAATTGGAACTTGGAATTTTGCTGTCTATATTGTTTTGGAAAATGTTTGATGGACATAGTGGGTGGCTACACTTTGAGAAAGAAATAGAAGAGAGAGAAGTGACAATTACTACTATGACGTCACAAGAAAGGAGAGATAGAGAGAAACAAGGAGTATTTGCAGTGTTGGGGTGTCCCAGAATTGGTACTTTTCTTTTGGCTTGTAAATGTTTTAGGTTGGACGTGGAAATTTTTAAGTGTTATTTGTGTATTATGTGGTTGGTTTTGGTTGATTCTAGGATTCTGGGTGAGGTGAAATGAATAATGATGCATTTCATTTTTTTTCTTTTTAATGGTTTGGTGTCAATTTTCAAGCATGGAGTGTGTGTGTGATTAGACTTTTTTTAGATGATGTTGTTTTTTTGTTAGATGATTAGTTTTTTTGGTTGTTTTTCTTGGAGTTTCATTGTTTTATTTAATTGTTTCTGATAATTTTCGGAAGTTCCACTGCTTGCGGGGCAGCAATGGGCAATGTTTTTGTGATGTGTTAGGCTTGGAGTCTGAGTGCTGGATTATTTTCCTTTTTTGGCAAATGCTAGGTAGTGACTTAGGGTGATGAGTAGAAAAATAGAAGTAGAAAGTATTTGGTGAGAAGGCACATCTATCTATTTTAATACAAATGAAAAATATTCGTTTAATACTTTTTTTTGAGTAACTGAAAGCGTTTGACAGGGTGTATTAAATGTTCTTTGACTAATATCCTAATGGAACTTGTTAGTAGAACCATTTCTTTTATTTGTTGAGAATTTTAGATAGTGATATCTGTGTTCTGTGCTAACCGAGAGATGCCTTATTTTTGTTTGGAACAATTGGTAGTAGTATTATTATAGCACAATGCTAACAAGTGACCTGAAGCACTAGTTAAGTAATCAAGAGCAGAACCGTTTTATAGAAAAGTGTACTACTATTTAATTTTACTAATGCACCCTCACCATAATTTTCAATAAAAACCTTTCTATTTATTGACTTCTTAATCAGTGCCCTTTGAACAGTTGGCAGGAGTTAGTGCCATTAAAATGTCATGATGTCAGTTTAAATGTTTCAAAACTTGTATAATATATATATATATATATCTTTTTTTTTTTGGTAACCTTGTTTCAAAACTTGTATAATTTGGTTGTACATGTTGCATTGTTCATAATATTAATACTCTTTCTGTCCCATAACAAATTTCATATAATAAGAAAAAATAAATCTTAAAATAAGTGTCATTTAAGCTTTTCGATGTAACATTAATTATTTTTTTCACCATTTATACAATTAGTAATAGTATTCTTTTTAAATGGTGTTATTGTGTTGCATCATTTATAGTAAAGAAGATTAACAATAAGGTTAATTTTGTAAAATTATTATTCCTTTTCATTTATTTATTAATTTTTCTTGGTTTATGTTAAAAAAACCTAGGACAACACTTATTATGAGACAAATTGTATACAATATTGGATATTTGCAATTGAGATGTTCACAAAAATGGTTGGGGTTTTGGAGCATTTATGTTTCATAACAATGTACTTACAACTGTTTAAAGGCATGTTTGGATAAATTTCTCTAGAAGGACATTGGGAAGAAAAATGAAATTAACTTTTTTATTAGTTAAAATCAGCTTATACATAAGTTAATTTGTAGAAATTATGTCATATTAATTTTTGTGAAAACCTTTTTTTTAAACATGCATCTAGAAAAAATAATTTCATTTTTCTTTCTTATTTTCTTCTCCTATAAGTACTTTGTCCAAACAGATCCTAAATGATTACCATGTTTTTGCTTCTCTCACTTTCACTAGTGTAAACAAGTTGAATAGTGATAAGCAATTAAAGTTCAAGTTTGCGTTGTGAAAATAATACTCGTTTCATTTATTTGAACTAGACAAACTTAAAACTTGAGCTTGACTTGGTTAAAAAATGTGAAGCTTGGGCTTAGCTTATTTAACTTGATAGATACTTTTGAGCTAGAAAGTGAGGTAAATTAGTAATAAAGTATAATTTTATATTCATAATGATGACTTAAGATTAAAAATGAAATCCTTGGTGATGAAAATGGTGATTTTTTTTAAAGACAACTTTTGGTCACCTATTTAAAATACTACTCTTTGAAATTGAAATCAGGTAAATGGTATGTGTAAGATAATTATAAACAAAATTATAATCTTTTAAGTAAATATAATAAATAATATTACAAATTTATACACGAATATTAATATAAAAATCAAATGTTGTGTTTGACTCATTTAAATAATCAATCTTGACTATAAAGCTTGGTCTTGTTTGTTTAGCTAAACAAATTTAATGACCAAGCTTCAATAGTTCATAAATAGCTCTTATTGTTCCTAAAGATGCTAGAGGGCAGCTTTCATGTGCACTGTTGTGCTGTAATCGGTTCTTTCTTTTCCTTGGTTAATAAAAAAAACAGCTTAGATTATTCACACCTCTACTTCTACCAAGCATCATATGCCCCTTTATTTCTAAGAAATATTGAGTTATTATTAGAGTGTAAAAGGGTTTAGCTTTAGTGTAAGAGAACAACATTACCAGAGAAACCAAAAAAAATAAAAAATAGAATGAGAACAAGAGAGAAGTAAAAAGAGCTGCTCGATGGTTGGCAGAGTCACTGGAGGGTTGCACAGAGGTTACAGCAATAGTTGCAAGGTAGGAGAGGAGAGAAATGAGGCATGATAGTTATGAACTTTAACATCCCGAAACCCTTATTTTTACCCAAAATTACCTCCATAAAATGCCCTCTAATGTTAACGTTGGAGGGCATTAATATTTTGGACACCATCGATATAGTACCACTATAGTAGAGTGCCACAATGCTGCTGTTTTAGCCGTTATTGCAGCCACTATGGCTGGGATAGTGAAGTGCTGTGTGACACTCTGGCAATGCATATGCTGCTGTAGCACGCTACTGACAACTATGTTTTATTTATATAATAATTAATTTCACATCACAGCTTCATATATCTTGATAAATAAATAAACAAGTTTGAGATCACCACAATACGTAGGCCTGAATACTCTATGGTTATGATGGCTGATCTTTTCTGGCTGATGTTAAGATGTTATTGATAACATTGAAACCATTGTTCCAAAACTAGAAAGAAACAACTTGAATTGAATGAGGATTTTTTGCACTGTCTGAATCTATATTTTAATAATTAGATTGTAGAGGCATTAGTGTCAATGGTTTCATTACTGCTGTTAGAAGCTTGACTTGGGTAGTTGGGTTTCATCATTGTTTACATTTTGCACAAGCTTTTAGTTCAAAACTTTGACCAGTACCACCTTATTCTTTTCTTTTTTTCTTTTTATTTATTTTTTATTTTTTATTTTATTTTTAATAACTACATGTGTTCAGTTTATTCCATTCCCATATTTATGCTTTCTTGAAGGAGTTGGAAAATCTAGTTGTTGACTTTCATGGTTTTTTTAATAATAAAGAAATGGTGAAGCTTAAAATTGTCACTGGTCAGTAGTAAGTAAATAATGAGCAGAATGGTAGATACATAATCTATACCATGTTCTGCAGCTGAATCCAGCATTGACCTCTATGCTAACAAAATTACTGCCGGTATTATGTAGTTTCCATACATATTAAAAGTAGAATAATTATGCTCTATTCTTGTCTGGCCTGCCATATGATAAATTTTGGTTGTGACTTTAATTTCAGAGGTTGTGTGCAGCAGTGTGAGAAAACTGGATGTGTAGGGGATAGATGCTTTCAGCATTGTAAATTCTCATCAGATGGGAAGCCAATTGATGGTCCATGGTACATGCATGAACCCCTCTACTTGAGGTGGAAACAATGGGACTGTCGCACTGACTGTAGGTATTACTGTATGGTAGCTAGAGAGGAAGAAAGAACAAAACTTGGTGATAAGCCTGTCAAGTATCATGGAAAATGGCCATTTCGACGTGTTTATGGGATTCAGGTTCTTTCTTGAATCTCCTATAAAAGTTTTAAGGTAGTATGCTAAATTGGTTTAGTTTCTGATTGTAATGTGGATATGCTTTATAATTTCAGGAACCGGTGGCTGTTGCTCTGTCTGCCCTCAATCTTGCTATGCAGTTTCATGGTTGGGTATCTTTTTTCATTCTTGTGTACTATAAGTTGCCTTTGAGGCCAGACAAGAAGACTTACTATGAGTACACTGGATTGTGGCATATCTATGGGATTCTATCTATGAATGCATGGTTGTGGAGTGCTGTTTTTCACAGCAGGTAAGTTGTTTGCTTGATGGTTTCCTTTTATGGTTTCTGCTGTGTATATAAAATTATAAAGCAGTGTTGAAGTACTAACCCTCAATTCAGTATTGATTTTCTTATAAATATTAGGTTTTTATGCTACAATGATCTCAATTCATAAAATATTTATGACTAAACCCTTAATTTAGTCCTTGAAAAAATTGTAAATGTTGGTCACTTGACTTTGCAAAAAGCCATTCACTTCATTCTTTTTCGACATCATTTTTCCATTGACGTCATGGCCTAAAGTGAATTGGCATTTACAAAATTAGGGACTACATTGATTGATGTTTACAGTCTAAGGAATCAATACGGAGGACTACTAAAATGTATGTGGTGTCACAAGACTTTTATATAAAATAGATATATATAAAATAGGGTTGACTTATTCTGAATACAGTGTACAATAACACTGCCTGGAACCATTAACTGATTTCATTCAACAGATAGAAGAAAAAATAGATTCTGATCTGATATCTTCAGCATTAATAGACTTTACTCTTATTTTGTTCAGATATTTATTACTATCCTGATCCTAATTATAAACAACACAGGACAAATCATGAAGACCAACAAAAATAATTAAGTTGGTTGTTTTAGTTAATCCTGTCATAAATTCCAATTTTATTCCAAAGATATAGGCAATAGAGTTAGCAAGAAATTAAGGGCTATAAAAAAATTTATCCTTGTTTAAAAACTAATGATTGTTGCTTATAATTAGGATCAAAGAAAAATCTAATTTGTTACTTATAATTGGGACCAATAGTTAGGACCAGATGTAGTAGTTTATAATGATGAGGAGAGGACGTTGTGTAATTATAAGTTAACTTTTTCGTTTTTATTTCAACCTTAATTATCTGTAGAGCCGTGGAATTAACAGAGAAGCTGGATTTTTCTTCTGCTGTGGCCTTACTTGGATTCACCCTCATTCTAGCAATACTGCGAGCTTTTAACGTGAGGGATGAGGCTACACGAGTCATGATTTCTGCTCCCTTGATTGCATTTGTGACAACTCATATCATGTATCTGAATTTCTACGAACTTGCTTATGGTAATCTTTTATCTTTAAAATAAGTGTTCTGGTCATCTTATAGTATTTATGTTCCCAACAAGAGTCATGTTCATGCTTCCTTGATTTATTTTGTGACAACTTGTGTCCTTAATCCTAATTTCATAATGTTTTTGTTAACCATGCTGGAAAAAGATAGAAGCTGCATTTCCTTGTTGCATACATTTACTCAAAATTAGGTCCACAAAAATGATGCTGTGTCTTTGTGGTGCAAGCCGATGCGTTGACTTTTTGTTTTCCAGGTATGAACAGGATAGTTTGCATGGGAATGGTTATTGTCCAGCTTCTTATTTGGGCCATTTGGGCCGGTGCTTCAAACCATCCAGCGCGATGGAAGTTATGGGCAGTAGTGGTTGGAGGAGGCTTAGCTATGGTGTTGGAGACATATGACTTCCCACCTTACATGGGATATGTGGATGCTCATGCTCTATGGCATGCAACAAGAATTCCTATCACATTTTTTTGGTGGAGTTTTATAAGGGATGATGCAGAGTTTAGAACCTCAGCTCTGCTTAAGAAGGTAAAATAGTGCTGTTGACACAACTGATCAGATGCAGGACATGTCATATGCTGCTGCTTAGTGCTTACTTTGATTTTTGTACATCAGAACTTTTTTATTTTCCTCGTGTAGGCATTTATTTGAAATGCTGCTTAACACGATGGTTTCTGTGTTTTTTGATTTTGTAACCTTTTGTGTTCCTCATCATGTATGAGGCATACTTTCTTAGTGAAATTTTAATTGCAATGCCTTATACGTTGGTAATGCTTTTTATAGTACTTTTGTTTTCCTTTTCTTGTATGCTATAAAAGTAGAGTTGAAAATGAGCTCAGTTCAGTTTTGTTAAACTTTATAATATTTGACTTAGTTCAAAATATGGCATGAGTTTGACATAAATTTTTTTGACTTGGTTCAAATTCGCCAACAGAATGGTTTTGTTTGTTAACTTGAATTATATGAACTAAAAATCATTTTTTTTTGAATCTTATGTATTTCAAAATTTCAATTTATTAATAGATTTTAGATAAATGATTGTTTAACTATTTTAAAAAAGACAAAATGTAACTTGTTTTAGTAGTTTTTGCAAGGTTATAAGGTATTTTGTTGGTTTTTGAATATATAAAAAAATCAATTCATGTTAATCAAGAAAGGTTGTTTACATTATTTAATTTTGTTAATTCCATTTTAAAAATAACATTTTTCTAAACAGTCTTTCCTTGAAACTTGATATCGAGTATAGTAAGAGGCTTTACAAATATAATTTCAATTAAATGAAATAGTATTTTAGAGATAACAACATTAAATAAAGATTGATTTGCTTGTATATGAGACTAATAATTATGAAGTTTTCTTTTTAATTTTTTATTTATTTTCTTATATTCAAAACTCAAAAAAGTATGATCCTAAAGAAAATAATTACATCTACAATTTGCATAAAAAAAATAACTATATCTTGCATAAAATAAGAGAAAATCTAATTCATAACTATAAAATCCTAAGTTACTTCTTTTATCATTAATAACATATAATTAAGTTTTAAAAGTTCTTTGAAATTTTAATAAACTTGAATTAAATAGAAAGTCAATTATATAAATTATATATTTGTGTCATGAATCAAATGAGTCAAATTATATATAACTCAAGTTCGACTCATTTATTTATTGAATTTAATTTTTAGTTTAAGTTTAGCTTATTAAGTTTATGAACAAAATTCAACAAACTAATTGTTGAATTACAATTTGAGTTATTTTTGAATTAGTTCGATTCGTTGTTAATAATAGTTATAAGACAAATTTTATTTGTATTTGAAAGGCAAATTTTATTTTCGTCGTATCTGAGATATTACTTTATTGGTGAATGAGTTTAAGGTGTACTGTTTTTATTTATAAAAAAAATTAAATATATGATTTTTTAATTTTGATTTTTGATTATTAATTCAGTCCTTAAAAGTTATAAAAATCAATCAACAAAATTTATCATAATTGATAGATAATTGATTTTTTTTAAAAAAAAAAATATAATAACAATTTTTATTAGTAGAAACAATAATCACTTAGGTGATCTCTATATTTCAAAGGGAATTATTCTCCAACCATTGTTTAGAGAATATTTTTGATATAAAGATCTTTTTTATAATAAAAGTCATGTTTATAATCATTGATAACACTAAAATTGCTTTGTTTTTATTAAATATAGGGACTGGATCAATAATTCTTTTATCAAGATTAAAGTAAAAAGTTTGTAACCCAAAAAAAAAAAGTTATAATAATTTTAAGGTTCAAAATCATTCAAACCTAAAAAATATTTTTAAAGTGTACGTTAAACTGGTGAAATTAAAAAGAAAAAGTGTTGATTCCATTCTACATCTTTTGCCAATTTTAATTGAAACTAACAAGTCAAACTTTTAATTGATTGGGTTATAGTATTACTTGAAGGGCAAGGAAATATTTAAATACATAGAGAAAACGACACAATATTATCATACTATCAAAAGGAGCGTTTCACGAACCAAAAAAAAAAAAAATCAAAAGCAGCGTTTTCTGAGTCATAACGCATTCTCTTATTGTTAGATGAACTTTGTTGAAAATTAAGAAAGTCTTGTTCAATATGAAGCGAGAATCACCTTATTCAGTATTCCTCGTTTTTCTCGAGCTATAAAAACAGTCTCACTTGGTAACTACAGTTATCATTGGTATATTTGCCTCGCACACTTCATAATTTTGCACGCAGAATCTCAATCTCCTAGAATCTTTGTCAGAGCATAGGAACACTTCATCTTTCACCAACAATGGAAGAAGACCCTGACAAGAAAAAGAAGAGGGAAGATAAGGTCCTTCACAATCTTCATATTCATATTCATCTTCTTGTTGATTTATGCTAGTTTTTGCATATCAAGTATTGGATAGGTTTTCTTAAAAGTACTTCTAAGTGAGAAAAATAAGTAAAAAAATTAAAATAAGTTTCTTCATAAGCTAAATAGTTATGCATGAGTTTAAAATAAGATTTTGGAGAAGTTAACAGAAAAGAACTACTACAAATTAGCTTAAGCATAAACTAATTTTAACTTGTGAAAAAACTTGTTTCATTTAAATTTTTGGAAAAGTTTATCCAAACAACTCTTAGTCATTGTTGTTTGTTGTTTAAATGAATGGACACAAAGTTGCATTTTGTGTTACCATTGAATCTATTGCTTTGTGGCAGGCAAGAGAGAAGCAATTGAAAAAAGAAAAGTTTCTTCTTAAGCAAGCTCAGGTGATTAGAGCTTCTCATCTGCAACAACACTTGATTAGTTTTCTTTTTTACTTTTTGTATTATATGAATTTGCATTCAATTGTTTGTTGTTTCATGGAATTTGATATTGTAAAGAATGTTCAGGAACAGGATCGGCACCCGTCTCGTGCCTCAAAAAGGAATGGAAGAAAAAATGTGAAAGGTGGAGTAGAGGATGAGAATCCTGAAGATTGTGTTGATCCTGAGACTCCTTCAGGTGATAAGAAACGTATGTCCTGTCAAATGTCAAAGCAGTACAGTCCAAGTGCTGTGGAGAAATCGTGAGTGCTAATTCTTTCTTTAACTGTTTATGTTCACAGCAATTTGGTTATATTATATGAAAATATGAAATGATTCTTTTAATTGTGTTTGATAAAACTTTAGGTGGTATGAGTGGTGGGAGAAATCAGGGTTCTTTGTGGCAGATGCTAGCAGCACCAAACAACCTTTTGTTATTGTGAGAATTTTGTTGACTTTGCTTTTGTACCTAAGTTACAATCTCAGGGAAACAAAGAATGTTTTGGTTACAATTAGTACTTAACACTTGGTTTTTTGAGTGTGAAATAGCCTTTCTCATGCTTCAATTTGTGGTATAGTTTATGAAGTTTCTGAAAAATCAATGGAATTGTTAGTTTTACTCATTGAAAACAATTTGTATACCATGTGATGAGACAAGATGATAGTGCTTTATGTTCAGGTTTATCCTCCTCCTAATGTGACTGGTGCTCTCCACATAGGTCATGCTCTCACAGCAGCAATACAGGTGCGCACAAATTTTCATTGTTATGTTGTGCAGTTTAGCTGTCAAGATCCAAGAATCATTCATCTCGATGTTATTTATTGATTGCAGGACACAATGATTCGTTGGCGAAGAATGTCTGGATACAATGCTTTGTGGGTGCCTGGGATGGACCATGGTGGGATTGCAACACAGGTTGTTTCTGAATTCAACAAATTTCACTTTTCTAGCTTTTTTCTGATTTGCCAATAACTAATCTAGCAACCTGATTGACAACTTTTAATGAAGTTTCCCTTTCTAATCATATTTTTTCTTATTCACAAGACTCGAACTTAAAACTTTGTTTAAGGAGATCAAGTCCAATATATTACACCGACATACAACTTGTTGGACGTTGGTCTTGTGCATTATTCATTTGTATTATTGTATATAGACATTCAATTTTGTCAATGTTTTTTTTGATAATTTTTATTTTATTTCACTCAAAAACCACTTTATTACTCTCTCATTTGTTGTTTTCAGCGTATCTTTTATGTATAAGATGATTTTGATTATGATTGTCATAGAACAGGTAGTTGTGGAGAAAAAGATAATGCGTGAAAAACAATTAACCAGGCATGATCTTGGCCGTGAGAGATTTATATCTGAGGTATGTTTTGTGGAATGATCTTTGAAGTCAATGGTCCTTACTAACTTGATATATTCTATTTGTTTGTTCTTGATCATATAACCTACTTTGGTGATGTTGGTTCAAAAGGTTTGGAAATGGAAACACAAGTATGGGGGCACAATATTACAACAACTACGTCGGTTAGGAACCTCTATGGATTGGTCTCGTGAGGTAAATATATATAAGTTATAACTTCTTTAGTGTTTAGTCCAATGTCACAGCTCTCTCTCTTGATAAAAAGAAGAATTCATTGTCCGAAAAGAATGCAAAACAAGAGGATCATGAATTCTCCTAAGGTTACTTGGACACTATAGAGGTAAAAAGAAAATACATCAGCTCTAAAGAGCAATGCAATTTCTTTGCACATGCAGTCTAGAAACATCCTAATAAACTCTTTATGAGCATATAACCCTCGAGGAAGCTAAGAAAATAAGCCTTCACAATAGAAATAGATCTTTTTCTCATGTTCACTGACATAATGTGATGTTCGGTTTTCATATTCGTCTGTGCCTGAATGCTATCCATTCCAGTGTTTCACAATGGATGACAGAAGATCTAACGCTGTGACAGAAGCTTTTGTGAGGCTATACAAGCATGGCCTTATCTACAGGTGAGGTGATTGTTTACGGAATCACAATATATGTTGTCATTTTGAGATGCTTTTATCTTAACTCTTGAATTAGGGGTTCTTCATTAATGCCGATTTCAACTTTTTTGAATTCAGAAAGATCATGATTATATCGTATCAAGATTCAAGACATGTGGTATTAGTTAAGTTGGAAACCAAATAGAAAGCTTTCAAAAATTGGCAATAGAGAAAATAGGTTATGTACTAAAAAAATGTAAAGTAGTTTTACACTTTCATCTAATCACAGATCTCTTATGTATAGTAAGTTTTTTGATTTTTATAATATATAACTAAAAAGTTATATAAACGGTGATTTTAGATTAGTTGAAACTACTAACAATATGATTTACACAAAGCTAAATTTTTGTTAGACTATGACATCGACGTGACTTCTCCCAAATATTTAAACAATTCTTAAAGTTAAAAAGATGCAAATGATACATGCATTAAGGCAAGCAATTAAGTGACAGATCTTTCAAAGCAGTATTGAAAAAATAACAGGATGCCTTTGAGAAGTGTTTGCTATGGCACTAGTATTTACACGTTCCCAAATTTGTTGAGGTGTATAAAGCCCCACCGTGCCATTTTAATGATGTCTGCATGTGTTAGACACATCACACATGTTTAGTAATGTTGTGGTTATTTTATGATATTTGTCTGAGAAAATATTTTATGAGGGTTATTTTTATAAGGTTATTGTCTGCTTTGGGCCTAAGCCCTCACGGTTTTGCTTTTGGTCATCACCCAAAAGGCCTCTCAAACATTGAAGTATGTGCGGTTTTTGCTTTTGGTCATCACCCAAAAGGCCTCTCAAACATTGGAGTATGTGTGTGATTTATAAGTTGTTATTTTTTCTCTTATTTTATCGATATGGGACGTGTTTGTATCCCAACAATCCTTCTCTCAAACATGAGACCTAACCTTTCATGCAGCGAAATCTGTAAATCTGTATTTATATATTAGAAGCATATTCCACAATGATGAGATATTGTCCGTTTTGGGCCTAACCTCTCACGATTTTACTTTTGGTCATTACCCAAAAGGCCTCTCTGACATTAGAGTATGTGTGTGCTTTATAAGTTGCTATTTTTTCTCTTATTTTATCGATGTGAGACTTGTTTGTATCCCAACAAGTAAGACACACTGATGATATATTTTTCTATATGCCCAATTAAAAAGTAAATGGCTCGAGCATGGCTACAACATGATAGAACAAAACATAGACACAATGTTACTGTCACCTTTGAATATAGTCAAAGTAGCTGTTCCTAAACTTTAGGCCAAAGTATTTCAATTTTATCTTAGTCAGTTTTTTTTTGTTACTGCAAGTACTATAAATGTATTGCAATTGACAGTCGAATACAGTGAATTCCCAAGATCTATTTCATCCCAATTTATATATTCTTCCTCTTCCAGTATTTTATTTATTTTTCTCCTTTTGCTACTGCCTTTATTCCTTAAAAACAACAATTAGTATCGTGAGTCCTATTCTTACGGACCTATGAAAATGGATGTTGAATCAAATTTCTCACAAGTTGCACCTCCAGTTTTTGATGGAGAAAACTACAATCTCTAGGCTGTCAAAATGGAGGCTTACCTAGAAGCTTTGGATTTGTGGGAAGTCGTGGAAGAGGATTACGAAATACCTCCACTGCTTGAAAACGCTACCATGGCTCAAATAAAGAACCACAAAGAGAAAAAAACCAAGAAGGCAAAGGCAAAGTCATGCCTATTTGTTGGTGTTTCTCAAACCATATTTACTAGGATCATAACCCACAAAAGGCCAAAGTCAATCTAGGATTACTTGAAGGAAGAGTATGCAGGGGATGAGCAGATTCGAGGCATGCAAGTTCTGAGTTTGATGCAGGAATTTGAGCTGCAAAAAATGCAAGAGTCTGAGACGATTAAAAGTTACTCAGATAGACTACTAAGCATTGTTAACAAGGTTAGATTGCTTGGCACTAAATTTTATGATTCTAGAATAGTTGAAAAAATTCTAGTTACAGTGCCTGAGAGATATGAAGCATCAATAACCACATTGGAGAATACAAAGGTGTTGGGATACAAACAAGTCCTACATCGATAAAATAAGACAAAAAATAATAATTTATATAATACAAACATACTTCAATGATCGAAAGGCCTTTTGGGTGATGACCAAAAGCAAGACCGTGAGGGCTTAGGCCCAAAGCGGACAATATCTCATCATTGTGGAATATGCTTGTGTAATAACCTTATAAAAATAATCCACTGGTTGAATGCGGTAACAACCCTCATAACCCTTCATAACTCATAACATATAAACATACTTTAATAATTGAGAGGCCTTTTGGGTGATGACCAAAAGCAAAACCGGGCTAAGGCCCGAAGCGGACAATATCTCATCATTGTGGAGTATGTTTGTGTAATAAACTTATAAAAAAACAACCCTCATAAAATATCCCCTCAGACAAATATCATAAAAATAACCCCAACAAAAGGATCTGTCCAAGATCACTTTGGCAGAAGTTATACACGCCCTACAAGCCCAGGAGCAACGAAGACTCATGAGGAAAGATTATATGGTTGAAGGTGCTTTACAAGCCAAAGAGCCAAGAACTTGGAACAAGTAAAAAGAAAAATTTCAAGAAGAATTAGGTGTCAAGCAATGAAAGTCCAGCAAACAACCAAATTAAAGGCAAGGGAGTAAAGAAAAACTATCCACCTTGTCAACATTGTGGTAGAAAAGGTCATCCACCCTTCAAATGTTGGAAAAGACTAGAGGCAAAATGCAGCAAGTGCAACCAGATGGGGCATGAAGCTGTAATTTGTAAAAACAAAAATTACCACGATGAAGGAGCTCAGATTGCCAATCAAGAGGAAGAGGACCAACTATTTGTGGCTACTTGTTTCTTGAGTAGTGAGTCAAATGAAAGTTGGCTAAATTGATAGTGGTTGTACCAACCACATGACCTTTGACAAGGCACTCTTCAAAGATTTGAGGCCAACTAATGTCACTAAAGTCAGAATAGGCAATGGTGATTATATCACAGTCAGAGGAAAAGGAACAGTTGCAATCACAAGCTGTGTAGGCACAAAATTTATTCTTGATGTTCTTTATTCCTCAGCTTGACCAAAACTTATTAAGTGTTGATCAATTGACCGAAAAAGGATTTAAAGTTGTTTTTGAAGACAAATATTGCTTGATTAAAGATGCAATTGGTCAAGATATGTTCAAGGTAAAAATGAAAGGGAAAAGCTTTGCTCTAAATCCAATGGAGGAGCAAGCTGTTTTCTCACTCAAGGAAAATGTCCTAGAAATCTGGCACAAGAGGCTCGTGAATTATCATCACCAAGGGCTGTTGCAGTTAAATGAAAAAGGCCTGGCACTTGATGTTCTTGAGCATGAGGATCGAATTTCAAATTGCAAAGCTTGTCAATTTGGCAAGCAAAACAGAAAACCTTTTTCAAAGACAACATGGAGAGCATCAAGGAAGTTGCAATTAATTCACACAGATGTTGCAGGGCCTCAAAGAACAACTTTATTGAAAGGTAATCTTTATTATGTTCTCTTTATTGATGACTTTACCAGAATGCTTGATCTTTTTCTTCAAGAACAAATCAGAAGTGACTGGAGTTTTTTGGAAGTTCAAAGCCAAGGTTGAGAACAAAAATGGTTTCAAAATTCAGATTTTGAGGTTAGACAATGGCACTGAATACACATGAAAAATTCAATAAATTTTGTGAGGATTCTGGCATTGAACATCAACTAACCGCTCCCTATACCCCACAACAAAATGGGGTTAATGAGATGAGAAATCGATATATCTTGGAGATGACGAGATGTATGTTGTATGAGAAGAATTTTCCAAAGGAATATTGGGCAGAGGTAGCAAGTACAACTATTTTTCTTCATAATAGACTTCCCACCAAAGCATTGAACAATCAAACACCATTTGAGGTCTAGTATGGTTACAAACCATCTTTGAAATTTCTTAAAATATTTGGTTGTTTGTGCTTTACTCATGTTCCACAGAGCAAGCGAGATAAGTTGGATAAAAGAGCATTACTGGGTATCTTTATAGGCTATAGTACAGTCAGCAAAGCTTATAAAATCTTTCGGCCGCAAACCGGAAAAATAGTTATTAGCAGGGATGTTCACTTTGTGGAAGATGAAGAATGGAATTGGGATGATAAAAAGAAGATATATCTGGCCTCTACAGATGTGAAGTTCAAGTCTTCAGCCTCAAACACAAAACGGAATGAAGAAGAAAGCTGGAAAAATGAATTAGTGGATGATATTTCAGTAAGAGATACCAGATTGCTCTCTGAAATTTATGAAAGATGCAATATTTCTGTGTGAACCTGTAGATTATGAAGAAGCAAAGAAAAGTCCAAATTGGATGGCTGCAATAAAGCAGGAGTTGTCAATGATTGAGAAAAACCAACCTGGATTCTTATGGAAAAATCTCAAGGTAGAAAAGTAATTGGGGGTCAAGTGGGTGTATAGAACTACGCTAAATGCTGGCGGTTCTATCAACAAACACAAGGCAAGACTTGTGGTGAAAGGTTATGCACAGATTTTTGGTGTAGACTACTCAGATACGTTTATACCTGTTGCTCGATTGGACACCATCAGTTGTTACTTGCAATAGTTGCTCAAAAGAATTGGAAGGTTTATCAACTTGATGTTAAATCAACTTTTTTAAATGGTTTCTTACAAGAAGAAATCTATGTTGAAAAACCCCAAGGCTTTGTGAAGGAAAGAGAAGATAAGGTTTATCTTCTCAAAAAGGCTTTTTATGGGCTGAAACAAGCCCCAATATCTTGGTACAACAGAATTGATGATCATTTGCTAAACTTGGGATTCATTGTATGTTAAGCATGATAGAGGTGACATTCTTATCATCTCACTCTATGTGGATGACCTCTTTGTAACAAGAGGCAACACAAGGCTTGTAGAGAAGCTTAAGAAAGAAATGATGGAGGTTTTTGAGATGACAAACCTTGGTTTAATGACCTTCTTTCTTGGCATGGAGATCAAACAAGGAGAACATGAAGTCTTCATTTGTCAAAAAAAAATACGCCAAGGAGATTTTGAAGAAGTTCAAACTTGAAGAATGCAAAGAAATGAACACTCCAATGAATCAAAAAGAAAAGTTGTGCAAGGAAGATGGAACCGAGAAGATAGATCAAGCATATTTCAGAAGCATGATTGGGTGTTTGATGTACTTTACAACAACTCGGCCCGACATCTTAAATGTTGTAAGCATTTTATCCCTTTATGCATTTTCCTAGTGAAATGCATCTCAAGGCTGCAAAAAAAGGTGATTAGATATGTCAAAGGCACCTGCAATTTTGGCATCAAGTTCAAGTGGACTGAAGAATTTAAGCTAACAGGTTTCTTAGATAGTGATTGGGGTGACTCAATTGATAATATGAGGAGTACCTCAGGGTATTGTTTTAACTTTGGATCGAGTGTTTTCTCATGGAACTTAAAGAAACAAGAAACTGTTGCGCAATCTACAACAGAAGCTGAGTTTGTTGCTGCTACAGCTGCAGTTAACCAAGCCTTGTGGTTGAGGAAAATTTTAATTGATCTTAACATAGGGAAGAAGGAAAGCACGGAAGTTTTTGTTGACAATCAAGCTGCAATAGCTATTTCTCATAATCCTGTCTTTCATGGGAAAACCAAGCATTTCAACATTAAGTTGTTCTTCTTAAGGGAGGTATAGAGAGATGGAGCTGTTGTCCTTGTTTATTGCAAGACTGAACACCAAGTTGCAGATTTGTTCACCAAGCCACTTCCAGTTAGCAAGTTTGAGTTCTTAAGACAGAAGATTGGAGTTTGCAGTCCCAAAATCAAGGAGGAGTGTTAGATATTTGTTTTTGGAGTGCACGTGGCATCTTTATTTGTTTTAGCTCTTACTGTTTCAGTTGTTGAATAAGTCTTTCTAGTCAAAGTAGCTGTTCCTAAACTTTAGGCCAAAGTATTTCAGTTTTATCTTTGTCAGTTTTTTTGTTACTGCAAGTATTATAAATGTATTGCAATTGGCAGTCGAATAAAGTGAATTCCCACGATCTATTTCATTCCAATTTATATATTCTTCCTCTTCCAGTATTTTATTTATTTCTCTCCTTTTGCTACTTCCTTTATTCCTTAAAAACAAGAAGGGACCTATTAAAAACCAAATTTTCAAGTGAAAACATTTATAGCCAAGCACCTTTTAATGGTTTTTCCTAAGTTGATACAGACAAATGTTAATAAAAGAAATGCTACATGATATCATATATATTCATGAGAATTAAATTAAATTAAAATATATAATGCTGGTTTGAGCTTGACTTGTTGATTAAATTTTGACTATTCCTCAAGCTCTCAACTTCCTATCAATGTTTATATTTCAATTTTCTAGTCTAATGTCTATGCCAATTATGACTCTAAAAGGTTCTTATCTGGAGTAAACTTTGTTATCTATTGCCACTGTTGTAGGGATGTTCGTTTAGTGAATTGGGATTGTGTGTTACGAACAGCAATATCCGATATTGAGGTATGCAATGTGAGTGCTTCAATGTTTTACTTGATGTATTCCATATTTAGTGTAATTACTTGCTGCATGAAGGTGGATTATGTTGAAATCAAAGAAAGGACTCTGCTTAATGTTCCGGGATATGCGAAACCGGTGGAATTTGGGGTGTTAACAAAATTTGCCTACCCTTTGGAAGGGAACCTTGGTGAAATTGTTGTGGCCACAACTAGAATAGAAACTATGCTTGGTGACACTGCTATTGCTATACATCCTAGTGATGACAGATTCTGCCAATTTCATGGGAAATATGCTATTCATCCATTTAATGGCAGAAAGCTTCCTATAATTTGTGATACTATTCTTGTTGATCCAAAGTTTGGGACTGGTGCTGTTAAGGTGACCACCATATATATGACTAAATTTGTAAATTTTGTAGTGTTGAAATTCTTTTTCAAGAGGTTGTACATATCATTGTAATTTACTTTTTCTTATTATTATTATTATTATTATTATTTATTCCTTGCAGATTACCCCTGCTCATGACCCCGAAGATTTTGATGTGGGGAAGCGTCACAACCTTGACTTCATCAATATTTTCACTGATGATGGTAAAATAAATAGCAATGGTGGCTTCAAATTTGAGGGCATGCCACGATTTAAAGCTAGAGAAGCAATCATAGAAGTATTGCAGCAGAAGGTATTGGTGCTGTGAATTTAGTTCATAACAAATATTTGGTACTTAGGCAACATGCATGGTGCATGCCACACTTTGTTGGAAATTAATTACTCATGCGTTCATGAAGAATCTGATTTATGTTGCATATAAAGCTCTTTTGACATTGCATTTATATATTTATCAAGTATTGTCTGATTTAGCAAGAGCTTGTTTCTATGATGCTTGTACTAATCTAAATGTTGAAATAAACTATTTTGCGATATTTCTTATTACATTTTGTTTTTTTTTCTTTTGTTTAGGGCTTGTACAGAGGTTCTGAAAGCAATGAGATGCGACTTGGTGTATGTTCGAGAAGCAATGATATAGTGGAACCCCTAATAAAGCCGCAGTGGTATGTTATGTCTGAGGATCTGGGAAAGCAGGCTCTTCATGCTTTAGAACGCAAAAAACTAGATATTATACCAAAGCAATTTACAGCTGACTGGAAGAGGTGTGCATATCTCCTATGTTAGTTTTTTTGTTATTTCCTTTTTTATATTACAAGAAGGAAGTACCAGTGTGAAAAGTCCTAGTAGATTTTACCATCTCTGTTATAGTAATATATTACAGATTAAATTATACTTTTATTCTTTTATTTTATTTATTAAATCTATTTTAGTTTTTTATTTATTAAAATGTTTATTTTGATCTTTTATCTTTTTATATTTAGATTAATTTGGTAACTCAATTTTAAATTATTTTTTTTTACTGATTTAAGACGTGAAACCTGTAATAATAGATTTAACTATATAAAAATTATAAAATTTAATTAATGTTTAAATTCATAAGAGTCATAATACAATAAAAATCAAGTAAAAAATATGTCTAATAATCAATTAGAAAATAGTATAAAATTATAGTTTTTTGAAATTTTAATTGTCTTTTGAACTTTTTTTATGTAATTTTCATCATGTTTATAATATTTTTTTATTTGAATTTTAGTTGCGCTCAACAGTTTTTATATAAGTGAATATAATAATATAAATTTCAAGTTTTGAATCATTCAAAAAATAACCCAAAATCATGTTTTAAAATTGAAAACAATTATTGCTTCAAAAGTATTAAATTAGGCCAAATTTAAGAGATAGTTGACTATAATGAACATTTTAAAAAATAAAAGATTAAAATAAATTTAATAAATAAGATAAAGGACCAAAAGTATAGTTTAGCCTATATTATATTATATATGTAAGAAATGCTTTGACTTTTTAGATTGAATTCGGCTACCCTGCTTGGTACAGCTCAACATTGAAGCTGAGGCAAATGAAATCTTGAGGAATATAATGAATTTTGATTAATTGTCATTTCTCACTGATTTCTCACGGTTTTTTCCACAGTAATAAGCATTGGCCAAAGATATAAATCAAATCATTGAATGGAGTATATAGAATACATTGATCTAAGGTTGATTTTTAATTTCATAATATTCTTCATGGTGGGGGCACTTGTGTTATTATGGTGTTCTTAGCATGCACTCTAACTTCTATTGTTTTCATGTGGTTTTGTTCCTCTATTTCTATTTCTATTTTTATTGTTGTGTGGTATAAGCATGTATTGACCAAGATATAACATCTTATAGATGGCTAGGAAATATACATGATTGGTGCATTTCGCGGCAGCTATGGTGGGGTCACCAAATACCTGCATGGTATGTCATGTTAGAGGATGACACTCTTCAGGAATATGGTGCTTATGAAGATCATTGGATAGTGGCAAGAAATGAAAAGGAGGCTCAAGAGGAGGCTAGCCTAAGGTATAATGGAAAGAAGTTTCACTTGAGGCAGGATCCTGATGTACTTGATACATGGTTTTCTGCTGGTCTGTATCCATTATCTGTATTGGGCTGGCCAGATGTGACAGAAGATCTTAGGGCATTTTATCCAACTTCTGTGTTGGAAACTGGCCATGATATCATCTTCTTTTGGGTTGCTCGGATGGTGATGTTAGGAATGAATCTGGGTGGAGATGTGCCTTTTAGAAAGGTGAGATAACTATTTGGATTAAATATGTTTTGTCAATTTTTACTTTTAGTTTCTAAACAAATTTCTTTATTAGTTTAGTCTATGAACTTTTGCAGATTTTCAATTTTAGTTTATGAACTTTTTCATTTGTTAACATTTTTGGTCCCTTGTGTTAAGATTTTTTGTTCATAAAAAAAAATTATTCGGATTAAATCAAATAAAATTTGTTCAGGAACTAAAAATAAAAATTGGTAAAAGTTCATGGGCTAAAAACATATTTAATCCTAACTATCTTTTGATGATCATTCGTGGATAACATTATTTAATATGCTTACCAAAGCATTTTTGATCATACTGTACCAAGTTTTCAAGCTTGAATGGGTAGGCATTTGTTATTGATTTAAGATGAGGATTTTCTCCTCACTTCTCAGTTGTAGACATTTGTGTTTTGCACGAACTAACTATCTCAAAAGCTTAAGCTGTTAGGTGAAGATACGTAATTAGTTTTATATTGCATCTCTAACATGTCCTATCACACAAAAAACCTTTGTGATTGAAGCTTGTACAATGCACAGGCTCGCCTATCTTATGCTGAAATTTAACATTTTATTAGAAGAACGGAAGCAACAGGAATCAAATTATAAATACTGTCAAAGATGAACGAATGGCTTTCTATTACATCACTATTTATAGGAAAGAAAAAATGAACTCCAAATGGAGGATCTCCTTTGGTAAATAGTGTTGATGTACTATGAAATATGAATTGAGTTCATGCATGCCTAAGAATTTCAGATCTTACAGATGTACTAATAATCTTATGCAGATATATTTGCATCCCATGATTCGGGATGCACATGGCCGAAAGATATCTAAGTCCTTAGGAAACGTTATTGATCCCATTGAAGTGATAAATGGGATATCACTGGAAGGTCTGCATAAGAGGCTAGAGGATAGTAACCTGGACCCCAAAGAACTAACTGTAGCTAGAGCAGGTCAGAAGAAGGACTTTCCAGATGGAATTGATGAATGTGGTGCTGATGCTCTCCGTTTTGCACTGGTCTCATACATGGCTCAGGTGTTATTCTTCTACCAATCCATAAAGAGAAATGTTAACAACTAACTCTCAAATATACTCTTTTATATACATTCTCTTCAATTGGTTAAAATTTATTAAAAATACAAAAATTGATAGGTTCTACACTTTATTTAATGTCTCTCTCCTGATTTTGTAGTTTTTAATCAATAGAGTGAGTGTGTTAAGAAGAATGTATTGCAAGCACTCCTTATCTTTAAATGAAAATTGTTCTTAATTAGCCAAGTTTTGTCATTTTCTCATCAACATTCTTGACTTTTGTCTCAGTCTGACAAAATTAACTTAGACATTAAAAGGGTAGTAGGGTACCGGCAATGGTGTAATAAATTGTGGAATGCAGTGCGGTTTGCTATGACCAAGCTTGGAGATGATTATACTCCACCTGCAAAATTGAATCCAGATGTTCTTCCATTTAGCTGCCAGTGGATACTTTCAGTGTTGAATAAAACCATATCCAAAACTATAAAGGCTCTGGAGTCATTTGAGTTCTCCAATGCTACCAGTGCTGTGTATTCTTGGTGGCAGTATCAATTGTGTGATGTATTTATTGAAGTGGTTAAACCTTATTTTACTGGTAATGATCCCAAGTTTGCTTCTGAAAGAATATTTGCAAAAGACACTTTGTGGTTTTGTCTTGACAACGGCCTGAGGTTGCTTCATCCCTTTATGCCATTTGTCACGGAGGAATTGTGGCAGCGCCTTCCTTCACCGATGGAATGCAAGAGGGAGGAATCTATCATGATAAGCAGTTATCCATCACCTGTCGAGGTTAGTTTGGTCTGACACATTTCCATTCAAATACTAGTCAATTTTCAGCATGCTTTTTGTGTGCATTCTTTTTTATTTACTCATCATTATTTTCTTCTATGATTCTGATTTTTTTTTGTTATTATTTTCTTCTATGATTCTGTTATTATTTATTTTTAAAGGATAATCATCCCCGGTTTTAGCTTTTAATTAATTTGTTTATTTTTAATCATAGTGCTGGAATAATGAAAGGGTGGAGGATGAGATGGCTCTTTTAGAGAGTGCTGTTAAGTCTCTCAGATCACTATCAAATGAAAGACATGAGAGGTATGTGGAAACAGGAGTGCTAGTTGATTTTGCCACTATTTTCCTCTCAACTTCGGTGTTCTTTACTTCTTCTGTATCTCAACTAACACAATTTGAATTAAGTTAACATTGAAACATGTACCTATTTCCTTTCTTATGTATAAGTCAGGAAGAGTTACAACTGCTTAAAAATAATTCTTATTTTGGGGCGGGGAGTGGGTTTGTGGATTGTTATATATAGCACTAAATTGTCAAATGTCAACCAGTTTTTCCACAAATTAGATTGTTATTCAATCTAAGATTCTTTGCTGATTCCGAAGTTGATGCTTATGTTGTTAGGCGACCAGCTTTTGCTCTTTGCCAAACACAGATGGTGACAAAGATTATCAACAACTATAAACTAGAGATTGTTACTCTATCAAATCTATCCTCTTTGACTGTAAGTTTCTTAAACTTCTATGATTTTTGTACGCATTCATACATCCCTTATTTTGTTGAGTGATTTTCTGACTCTTTTTCTACACCTAGGTCCTTCTAGGGTAGCATAGTGTAACACTAGTTTACTTGACCAGATTAACATTTTTTTTACTTGTAATGCTGATTATATGGCTTGCAGGTAATCAATGAAAATGATCCTGTTCCATCTGGATATGCCATGTCACTTGTAAATGAAAGCCTTTCTGTTTATGTGGAGCCTCAAGGAAATATTTTTTCAGAAGCAGGGCAAGAACAGATTCAGAAGCACATACAAGAGTTAAGGAAGTAAGTTTACCTTGTTATCCAAGATATTATGATAGAGTAGCATACACACATGCCCTTTGCATTTTCATTTTTTTTATTGTATTTTCTTAATTGAATACTTAAGTAATGCTTACATGGTATATTTTATTGGGGTAAATAAAAAGATTGGATTTTCTTTTGTGAACAATTGGAAGCTTGACATCCCCCATCCTCTTTTGAGTGGCTTTTAATACACATCTTTATCTCTTGAAATATTGGATCTTTGATTATGCAGGCAAATAGAAAGACTAGAGAAGACTATAAACGCTCCAGCGTATGAAGATAAGGTTCCATCGCATATTCAAGATGGAAACAGAAAGAAGCTAGAGTCACTGCTAAAGAAGTTAGATACCTTCAAAATGTAACTCCTGAGAAAGTTGCTGGGCTTATTAACGACTAGCTTCAGATTAAATATTGTGAACTTGATTAATCAAGTTCCTTTCATGGTTCTTTATTGAAGCATTAGAAAGAAAAAGCACATTAGTTTCCCTATGCAGTTTGTATATTTACGGGTTCAATAATTGGCTGTAATACTTACCAATGTACCATTTCTAAATTGCTAAATTAATGCAATCTTTTCTATATCCTTTTTTCCCCCTATGAATCTGTCTGTTGGGCCAGCTTCTTTGCTTTCAGTAATAGAATAATTCCTTCTACTTCCCTTGTTCCTTTTCTCATCACATATTCAAGAAGAAAAAGAAGAAATACAGGGCACAAAACTGAAGGGAAGAATAAGAACAGAGGCAGAGTTCTATTATTTAAACATCAAATTCTTCATATACACGCACGCATCTAAAGCACATTTCACAAAAATCAAAAGGAAACTATTTTTTTTTTTGAGAAAAACGTTACCTCCTACTTAATATAAGCAATGCTAGTAACAACAATAACTATATTCTGCATAAAAAGTTGAAATTGCAACCAAGTGTATGATTGATTGCAAAAATGTGGCCTTAGAGAGTACACATGAAATTTGTCTTATTTGAAATACACTCTAAACAGTTTTTATACTGTTATCTAACCATAAATCATCATATATCGGAAAATTATTCATTTTTATAATAATTAAAGTCATATCTAGAGTAAACTTAATTGATTAATAATATAATTTTTTTTATATTATTTCAAAATTAAATTCCAAAGTTTATGTATAATACAGTTTATAAATCCAAAATATTAAAAATATATAGGGGTGTTTATTAAGTAACTTAGAAGGTACAAAATAATTTGGTGCATAATTCTCTTGCTCGTTGCTCCTACATTTTCAAGTTATTAGAATCTTCTCAGAAACGAAACTTATTTCACAACTGGAAACATGGTTTTGGCTGCTTTCTAGAGGGAATGGGTCACAAAACCGTGGCTAAACCGTGGTCAAGTTGGCCACGTGGCTCCACACCGTAAGATAGAAAGTGACTCTTTTGGTTTCTAAAGGAAATATCAAAGACATACTTTCTATTTACATTCAAATCCTCTTCAATTATTGCACCATTATTGCAGGGTCAAGTGTCGATTTCAACATATATACTTAAATATGTGAAGACTTCAAAAAAAGAAAAACTGTTTGAGATGGTTACCAATTTCAAATTGAATAGTTTGACCCAATCCAACTCAAATCATGACAGAAAGTTCTGCTTTATCTACTTCTTTAAAGCTAAACTATTACTATAATCTACTTGAAAAAAGCGTGGTCCTAGTTTGTTGATAGGCTCCTAGTACACTTGGCAAATGTTCTATCTAGTCTAAGGTTCACCCTTCACACACTCAACGTTAACTCACTTTGTTATTATACTTTAACAAACATTAAAAACCAAAACTAGATTCTTCTTTCATTTATTTTATTCATAAATTTGAAGGGATGCACTTGATACCTGATTACTTACTTCCACAAAAAAGGGTTACAAAAGAAAATTATTCCTTCTAGTCCCTTTCAATCTTTCCACCTATAAATAGTATCCGTACTACTAATAAAAATAAACAGTACAGACACTCCACAATCCAAAACTAACAAGAAACAACCAAAACAAAACAAACCAAACACACTACTAAATTGAGAAACTCCATAGTGACACCTCAGCATCTTGAGCCTCCAAGTCAGCATCTTCATACTCATACCCCAAACAGTGCGTTGGAGACATTAGCACCATATTTCTAAGCAACTCAGGCATATCCAACTCTTGCCCTTCCTCTTCATCCATATAAAACATGCCTTGTTGGTCTCTCATTGTCGTTGTTATCGTCGTCATTGATGTTACTTCTACATGCTCTTCCCTCATATCGATACTTTTTAAAGTCTGGTCTATCCTTTTTAAAGTCTGGTCTGGCCTAAAAGCCTCAGCAGCCTGTGCTGCTGCCTTTTGTATATCCTTCGCCTCGGCCGTGGCGGGGGCTGGGAA